ACCACATATAATTCCCATGCTTTATTCTTGCTCAAACTTGATTTTTATTGTTTGCGACCATTTTGGTTCTTGCTCCTTCATTTCTTACTCACAACCAACATCGCCGTCGCCTACATGGATGTCGCAATTTCTGTGACACAGATTTCTTAGCGCTATCTGATTGAAAATTTTAGAGTGTTTTAGTATTGGCAGAGAGAGCGACCACTAGAGAGGCCGGGTGCTACTGTGGCTGTGACGTAGCAAACCGCATCATGTGACTCACCTATGCCATTGTCAGTGCAGCACACTTGCTCTCAATCCCGAGGCAGTTCATTTTCTAGCCTTCAGGTTTGTTTACTGCTCGATGCTGCAGTGCCAAATGCATTCGAGCAATTCTTAATGTGAATGAGCCCTTCGAAAATGTCCCGGCATCGATATATGTGACCGGTAAAACTGAAATTGGTGAAACAACTCAGCGTTCATCCTCAAGTGTGCAGCACTCTCAGAGTCCACTTCTTCTTCTTCTTTTTTTTTTTTGAGTGTTCGTGCATTCGCAAAAATTTTCAGCCTGTAATCTGAGTTCAAATGTTCGGTAAGTACAAGAGTGTACTTTGCGGATCTGTATGAATAGGCATTTATTACCTTTATTAGCACCAAGCTGGAAAAAATGATTTCGAAGCGTGGGACCGCAGCAACGCATGATGCGGTCTCCACTTCTCGCACTGGTGCGAGTTTGCATGCGTATGCCAAAACCAAGAAGCAGCAAATTGCATGCTTGATGAAACGAAGAATAAGGAAGAAACCATGCATTCAATATTGCATATGTGCGACAAGCACTTTCGCAAAAAAGATTTCGTGTATTGCGTTGGGGCTAAAATCTGGTGAATACAAAGTGGTACTTTCTGGGAATGTACACATTGGACATTGCGACGCTTATTGAAACCAGGCCGGCAGGCTTTTTCCAGTGGTCTGTAGCTCAAGGGTAATGAAAATGATTTGGTCGTGACACTGTTAATTTACATTGCATATTTGGATGTCTCTCGTTCTGTTAGCAGCCATGATGTGCTGAGCTGCTGGTAAACGAATTGGTTGAAGCCAGAGTCTGGCAGAGTCACTGAAAACGGGATACAATAGAATCTCGATAATATGATTTCGCAATGATACAAATTTTAAGATTGTTTTGGACAGCTATGAAGTGTTGCATTCTCTCCTCACCTGCTCTCCGCCGCCGCGCCCTGCCTGCATGCCACCCACGAGACAGGGTAAAATAATCGAGCGCGGCTTGGGAAATGAGTTTGTAAGGGGAAGAGGGGCGGCAGGCATGCATGGCCTTTCTCGTTTCCTGCCCTGGTCACTTGCTCGCAAGGTACGTCAGCCGTTTTTAGGCAGATCATTGGATTTATTTTTGCTCTTTTTTGCTTCCTTTTTTTTATTGCAACGCCGTTTTCACGTGGTGTTGGGGCTCTCGTAAACGCCAGTTTTGCTGCTCCAACTGCTGTGTTCGTATCGTCTTTGAGAGTTTTTTGACTGTCTAAGCTTGCCACATGCCAGAAAACCGAAGTGTTCAGTATGTCTAGGAAGCGAAAGGCCCTTTCTTTCAAGGAGGAAATCGAAATTTTGAGGAAGGTCTACAAAGACCCCTTAGAAAAAGTGGATTGACTTGGCGAAAGTGTTAAGCATAGCACCGTCGACTCTCTGCACTATTGTTGGTCAGCGAGAAGTAATCTTGAAAAATGCCCGGCACTTTAGCGGGAACGTGAAACAGGCGAAGACAGCTTCATACGTATAGCTGGACGACTTTCTGCTTATGTGGTTTCGCGAAGTAACGGCAGCTAGCGTCAATATGGACAGCAAGGTGCTACGCAAAAAAGCGGAAAACATAGCGCCTTTCTCTTGGCATCGACAACTTCCAAGCTTCCGGCAAATGGCTGCACCGTTTCAAAGAATGGCACGGATTAGTTTATAGAGTTGTCAGCGGTGAAGCGAAGAAAGTGGACGAGTCGCAGGTGAATGACTGGCTCAACACGCTGCCGGCTCTGATTACGGACTAGGCACTGTGTGACGTATTAAATAAACGCTGATGAGGTGGGACTCTTTTTCAACCTTCAGCCGGAGAAGAGCTGGTGTGTGAAGGGGCAGGCTTGCCAGGGTGGTCAAAAAAGTAAGGAGCGTGTAACCGTGCTTTTTTGGGTAAATGCCGATGACTTGAAAAAATACAGCTTACTGTCGTAAGCAAATCAAAACAGCCAAGGTGCTTCCGATCGGCAGGATGTTTGCCTTGCTTGTAGGAAGAAAATAAAAAAGCATGGATGATGTCATATTTTTTCCGCGAGTTTCTGATAACTTTGAACAGGAAAATGGCAGCAAAAAACAGAAAAATTTTGCTTTTCGACGACCAGTGTTCAGTCCATCCGAAAGACTTGAAATTTAACAATGTCTCCATAAGGTTCCTGCCTGCAAACACTACAAGCCGTCTACAGCCACTGGATGCGAGAACAATTCGAAATGTCATGCATCATTTTAAAGGATTGCTTGTACAGAGGCTTCTGGCGAAAATTGAGTGCAAAGATGAAAACTTGCAGATGAGTCTGTTGGACATGCTATATTTCCTTGTGATGTCCTGGGATAATGTGACGCAGGACACGATTGCAAACTGTGTTTGCAAGTGTGGATTTTTTTTGGAGGACAAGATGCAACTCCCATAGAAGATAATGAAGAGCCCGACGCTGATTTGCACATGGAGGGTTGGGAAAAACCTCGAAACTGAAGCTTCGGCGTGAGACTTCGTCACCGCAGATGATAATGTTGCGACCTGTTGGCTGCGATCTATTGAAGAACTAATTGACAAGGTTAAAGAGACGGTCTCCGACAGTGACGCTAAAGATGCCGATGTGTGTGACTTGCTGTCGACGTCGGAAAACCACCACGCTCTCAATGCTCTGCGCCGCACCTTTTACAGCTGCCCATACGTTTTCGCGCGTTTTCAGCTGCCCATACACCCAGTGACACGCTCTGCCCCACTGGCATCATCGTTTTCAGCTCATCTGATTGGCTGTGGAGTGCGCAGCACAGACTGCCGGTATCGGATCGGCGGCAGAATTTACGCGTATGCGGTCTCACACTACATCGTGACGCAGGCAGAGCTTAGCCCTGGCAGAGCTTAGCCCTGAGCGCTCGAAAGAAGAGTGGAGGGCAGTTGAGGGTAAAATGCGGAGCGGAGGAAGGGGGTACCTTTTAGTACTCGTAGCTCCGTTAATAATGGGTGTTTCGATTGAACTCTGGTGTCAATGATTTGCTTCAGTAGTGGTCTAATCAAAAACGGAATGTGTAAAAACCGTTTCCGAGACTCTTTAAAGATATCAAAGTATATGCAGGTGAAGGTCCACTTTTTCAAATACAGTAAAGGCTCATTTATGCAAATCTCGTTAACTCAGTAGTTCGGTTCACTCGGATCCGTGGCGTGGTCACGGCAAAACTGTGTATATTTCAATGGTGTCAAATGCTCGCTAATTTGGAGGGATTTAGACGTGCACCAGTTCCAGAGAGGGCCCAAAGCAACTTTAGAATTTGTATCATTACAAAATTGGCATGAACCGTAAGCGTATTGTCGAGGTTCGAGAAAATGGGTATCATCGAGAAAATAGGTATTTTTGGTATGTTTGGTGCCTGCTGGTGCCTGCTGTTCACTTGAACGGTTGTGCAGCGCGAGCAGCCGGTTTTTTCAATCAAAAATCTTGCTAGCAAACCCTGCTTGCATCGGAGTTGCGAGGCCAGAGAGGGGGAGCATAGGAGAGGAGAGGTAGGGAAATGAATACTGAATGGGAGTTTCAGCCTTGCAGCAAGGGGTGCCTAGAGGAGAAGGGGGGGAGTGGGCGTACATTAGGTAGACTAGGGGGTACCTTGTTTTTGCGAGGCAAGAGAGGGGGGAGCATAGGACAGAAGAGAGAGGGAGAAGGGGATGCGCATGCACAGTAAGGGTGGTCACATTGCACTCCGCATTGAGCTTGACCCTAAGACGCTTTGCATCTAATAAAACTCTAGGTAATTCCTGCATAATTGACTGTGACCTCTGTTCAGATGGTCTTAAAAGCACGCTGAGCATGAAGCGCCGCAGAAGACTGAACATGACGTTTGCGGAATACCAGGCAGCTCGGTTCACACTGCCATTGTCATTATTGCAAACCAAAGGGTAACTACAGGGAAGCCAGAAAATTTCATGCCTATTTAGATTTATCACTTCGTGTGACACCTTATTGTTTATAGGTGTTCGAAAACGCAAGGTTGCCATTCACAATCGTGTTGTTTGTGATCAAGGCTTCAGCGGCTGCTGTAAATTTCGTTCAATTACCAGAGAAAATGAAAAAGTGTCACGTGCACGTGGTAGTGCTGGTAGTACTTGTGAAGGGTGCCGGGCACATTTCTGGCTAATAAGCTATGGAGTCTTGTGCCACGGTTTCATTGTGAAAGAAGGTGTAGGATGACTAAAATTGAAGCACTTACAGTGCTCTTATGCAAAAGAAGTACAAAATTCTCGAATTTATTAAGAAAATGAAAGTGTATTCATGTAATAGACATTTTTATGTTGCTTCCTTGACACTTTTTGAAAACCTAATTAGCGAGCTTTTATAGCATAAGAAATTTTTGTGCAAATTTTAATGCCTGCCTCTGCTGGGAAGCCTAAATGACAAAAATATTTTATTTCCTAATATCTTATTTCTGCAATCTTGAGACTTATTGACATCATGTTTTGTGTCTCTGTTATTGCTAATAACTGTTTCCCTAATCATAATTCTCAGTTTTAGAAACTGAATTCCCAATTACAGTATGAATGATAAAAAAGAAAGGCCACGAAGTGCATAACCCCAAAGCCGGCATTAGGGCCTACCTACAAATCGGCTTCCTACAATTTGTCCCACTTTATTGATTGTGAAATATGTTCCCTTCGGGCAGACTTTATGCTAACCTTAATAACCGCAAGTGTAAAAATTTTGTTGACGTAGTGACTTGTATTTGGATTACAGCCTCGAAGGAGCCTGTTGCAACGAGGCCTGCCAAAATTGCCAATGATGAAGAGTGCACGTATTGTACAACAATAGTTCAGTATGTGTATGATGCTCTTCAGGATGAGAAAACTGAGGTAAGGCCATGTTGTTGCAGGAAGTCTGACATTGGTTGAAGAAGTCTGAATTCTCTTACTAACCGTAATCCTGCCAAAAATTATAAAGGGGTGGTGCCACAAAATTTGTGGCCTGCCTGTACATGTCTCTTATAGTTCTAGGAAGCATGATACATGCACCAAGATTCATGTATTCTGGCTAAATAATTTAATGTTGCATTATTTATGTGGACAACTTTCGGTTTATGATGGCTGAGTTGGGAAGTCGTGTAGCAGCTTAGGTGGCTTAGTCATGTGACCACACAAGGCTGTGATGCACGTCACCCTAAGTATTGTCTGCTCTCAAACACATCTGCCCTAAAAGCACCAGCAAAACTGATGCGCTGATTGTTTACATGGCTAGCTGCAGCAGCCGCGAGGGGTGTGGCAACTCATCCTTTGCTGGTTTGCACATTTGGGGAAGTTGTGGAGGTCTGGAGGTGACTCGCATCACCACAGATGTAGTTTCACGTCACTACAACTTTCATTGCCCTTCCTATAGAGCTATGTCTGTGCTGGATGTGCAAGTGATGGGTCGTGATTGGTAGAGCATTAAGGGGCTCCTTGGTAGCGAATTCAAGTATATTCTAAACATTTGCTCTGTCAGACTCTTCTTGTGGAGTGTCTTTGCTTACAGAGAGGAAATCAACAACAGGTGTGTTATAGCTTCAAAATTTGACGGCACCACTCTTTTATGGGCTGACGAAAATCTTTTGGCCTTAAGAAAGCTACAATAGTTAATTTTTAAAATACCAATCAGGAATTCACTGCTTCTTGAAATAAGGCCACACTTTGGGCAGTACCGTATAAACCGGACTATAGGTCGAGTGAGAATATAGGTCGACCCCCCAAGTTCAGGTTACCGAAAAAGAAAAAAAGGAAAACAACCCAAAACTGCTGAACCACATTTATTTGCAAATTGTGCGCACCGCACCCCGATCGTCGGAGCTCCCCTCAACCACCATCGCAACTGCTCCTATTCATCCGACGAAGCACCACTGTCTTCTGAAGGCAAGAGTTTGTCGCTGGCCGCCTCCCACAGTGCGTCGTCTTCAGTGCCATCCAGCGAGTTGCTGATGCAACATTTCTTAAAAGCATTTTCTACCATGGAATCCGGCAAGGAGCGCCAGGCGGAAAGCACCCAGCCACAACAGTCGCAAGCGGAGGCCTCTGTAGGCGGCCTGTCGGTGTCTTTGGGTTGTCGCCGGACATCCACCCTTGGTATTCCAGCTGCACTCTGTCCTTGAACGCCTTGTTGAGCACAACGTCGAGCGGCTGGAAGGTGGACGTCATACCACCTGGTATCACGGCGTGGTCCGTTTTCTTGTCGCCGAGTGCGCGTTTCACTGCGTCGTTTAAGTGGCCACGAAATGCATCCAAGACCAGCATGCTGTGAAGATGCAGCAGTGCACCTGGCCGACGATTCTAAACCACTTGTATTCATTCGAGCATCATGGCCTCGTCCATGTATCCCTTTTTGTTGACGCCAACGACAACACCGGGCGGGAATACTTCCTTCGACATTGTCTTGCGTTTGAAAATGGCGAAGGGTGGAAGCTTTCTACCATCTGCCGTGCATGTCAGCATGACGGTGAAGCGCGAGTGCTCGTTGCCAGTGGACAACAGCTTCACATCCTTGGTGCCACGCTGTGTGATCGTGGTCGACGAAGGCATGTCAAACCACATGGGGGTCTCATCGGCGTTGCCAATCTGCCCCATCATGTAGTCGTTCTGCTTCCGAAGCCGGTTCAGTTTATAAGCTTGTCCTCGAACTCCTCCGGCAACTTTTGACAGATGGATGTGCGCCGCTGGAGAGAAAATCCTTTGCGTCGCATAAATCGACGCACCCAAGAGTTCGGTGCACGAAACTCTTCTCTCGAGAGCCCAGCTTATCGAGCGAGTTCCATGGCTTTCTTGCGAATGGTATCGACGGTCACTGGCAGCGAGCGTGCTCGAACTTCCCGCACCAAGTCCGCTAGCTTATCCTCCAGCTGCGGATGAATGGCACTTCGTCCACGAAACATCATTTTTCGAAGATTGCACATCTACAGTTTCCCTTTCTGCGCCCTCCAATAGCACACGCTTTTTTCCGATACACCAAAGCGGCGCTGAGCAGCCATATTCCCGTTCGCTTCTGCGAACTCAACAACATCTACTTCAAACGCAACTGAGTATTGCCTCCTCGCACCGCTAGACATATTCAGTGAACGAAAAAAAAAAAAAAAAGGCCACTAAAAATGCAGCGTAATGTCAAGCGGAGAGAAAACTCGGAACAGATTAGAAGCAAATCACGAACACAAAGAAAACAGACGGAGAAAAAAAAAGACTGCGATTGGATTTGAATGCGAATATGGCCGCGTCCGGCTTCACAAGCACATGCAAGTCACATGTTGCCAGACAGCGTCGCACTTTCGGCTAGACACTGCTATATAAGATGAGGGGCGACTTTAGCTTACTATTTCATTGAAAATATCTCGACTTATATTCCGGTTTATACGGTATGTATAATTTTATGTTGTGCAGTTGCACTGTAACATATGCATGCAGTATTGCGGAATGATAATTTTGTTGTTAAGTCTACATTATTATGGAGTATATGCTTCTGCTTTAACTTTTATGTTACTAACTGGGATTTACAACATTTGTTTTGTATGGTATGTACCTGTTTCAGAGAAAACTTGCTACATTCTGTTACGTATAACCCGCACAAATTTTTTGAAAGTAAAACTAATGTTCGAACAAAAAACTCAAATTTTAGTTGTGAAAGGTGGCCTTACGACAGTGCTTCCCAGCTATGTAAAGAAGCTATGCTGACCCGCAGGGCGCGGGTTCGAATCCCGGCTGCGGCGGCTGCATTTCCGATGGAGGCGGAAATGTTGTAGGCCCGTGTGCTCAGATTTGGGTGCACGTTAAAGAACCCCAGGTGGTCTAAATTTCCGTAGCCCTCCACTACGGCGTCTCTCATAATCATATTTGTGGTTTTGGGACGTTAAACCCCACATATCAATCAATTATGTAAAGAAGCTAGCTTTGAGGCAACATGCAGGGATAATTTTTAATTATATTTCCACAAAGCCTTGTTGACAGTGTGGGTTATGCATAATATGTATTATTTTTGCTGTAACATTGATTTTTTCACATTTGCTGAAATTGCTACCTAATAGCTTAACATTCTATTGCACCTGTGTTTTGAGGGACACTCTCCTCCCGAATTTTCTTTAGTTTGTGTGTTACTATGCCTTGGTAATCTACGCAGCTTCTCGAGATAACACTTGAAGTGAATGTAAACTTGAGTGTAGTAGCGTGCACTGGTAGTTTTGTAACCTCTTTCTGCTCCCTTTAGGAGGAGATCAAGGAAGCACTAGATGAAGTCTGCACCCTTTTCCATGGAGATAGACGGCAACAGTGTGTTAATATGGTCAACACATATTTTGAGATTATTGTGTCGCTCATAGTTCAGGACTTCACGCCTCAGCAAATATGTCAGACAATTGGACTGTGCCCATCAAGTGAGTACTGGTTTTCCTCAGCCACATTTTAAGTATGTGGAATGCAAGAACACACATGTACTTACTGTAAAAACTTACTGTGCACTTTCTGGGGTATAGTTTGACTTCCTGACTTAAATACACTGTAGAATAAAAATAACAAAAAAGTATGCGAAATTGCCGAAGTATCAAAAGGCACCCTCACATTGAAATAAATACACTTTCAAATACTTCACAGTGGCAGTACTACTTATTTACATGTGCATTTGCAGGCCAGTATTACATGCCAGAAGGCCTAAAATTCAAAAGCTTAAGCATTGTCCATTTGAAACGTTTCAATCATGATGTAGTGTTCTCAACTGGGCTAAGTCAAAAGGCACGTGCTGTTTTGAATGCTTTAATTTGGATACAAACGGAGGTCGTAGGTAGTAATTTAGTGGTTTGGTGTGTGAAACCCCAGGGACTTATTTAATTTCTCGGTTCATGTTACCAATGCTAAATAAAATGGGATGCAAATTCTAAACACTGATTCTGCATATGCTGTATACAAGTGAAGTTTGCTTGACACAGGGCTACACCAGGCAAAAGCCGCAGCAGAAGATACAATGAAGGAGAGATGCGATTTTAAAAAAAAGGTGGTAATCTGCAGCCTAGGGCAAAAAAATTTTCGCTGTATAGATAAACTTTTATGCTTATTTCAAATACGTAATTAGTTTAATAATAAGTTGCACTGTTTGTTTTATGCCATGACAGTGTATAAGGTATATAGTTTGTTTTGCGCAAACTTTTTCAGCCATAAACTTATGTTACAAAGTCGTTAATGGCTCATATTGCTCTACATAACTGTAGAATGCAAGTAACTCCAGGCAGGGGCGTTTGCGTAAGTAGGCGTTTGGTGTGTAGCCACACCACGGACCCGAGCTCTCCCTCTCCTAGCCGTGCGTGGCTGAGCCGTGTCTAGGGAAAAGGGGATCCTAGGAGTTGAGCCGATGCCGGGTGATTGGACCTTTAAGGCCCCCTGGCCGAGGCAACACACCCCTTTGTCCCCGGCTTCACGTAGGCGGCACCTCTGGGCTGACCCACCCAGGGGAATGCAGCAGTCGCCTTTTCCTATCTGTCTCGCCTTACATCTTTGTCTTTTCTTTTCTTTAAATCTATCCTGTCTTCTTCCCTTTTTCATTCACCTCATTGTTTTCTGGTAGCAATGGTTAACCTCATGTAGGTATCCAACCTTGGGTATGCTATATCCAATTATAGTGATAGCGTACAGCTGGCGTTGTGCAGACTTGCTTCAAGTCTTGCCGCGTCTCCTTGTTGGGCTCCGTGGTGGGCGGTTGGCGCCGGCGCCGAACACATGCACTACTCCCATGGATAAACAAGCTACTTTACTCCTTGATCGTCCTCAAAAAAGAGGGCGCACCAAAGCACCTTTCCATTTTTTTCTGAAAAGCGATGACATATTTCCAAAATGTCATGTGATCCATTGTGAGGGCAACCTAACTGCTTGCAAATTGTCTCCTTTCCTGGTGGCGAAATGCCTCGGAAACACCATTGCACCAGGCTACAAGGCCACGAAAATGACTAGCGGTGATTTGCTACTTGAGCTTAAGGACAAAGATCAATTTGAGAAAATGAATGAGTTGAAATGCATTGGTGACGTACCAGTCACAGTGTCTGCACATATAACAATGAACATGAGCCATGGTGTAATATCAGAAGATGACTTCTTGCACCTTAGTGATGAAGAACTTATTGATGGGTTCCAGAATCTAAATGTTATGAAGGGTTAAAGAATAGTGATTCGCCGGGAAAATGAGCAGATCTGTACTAAGCGCATAATACTAACCTTTGACAGTTACATCAATTTTCGCGTGAGGCCGTACATCTCGAACCCTTGATGGTGCTATAAGTGCCAGCGGTACGAGCGTGGATCGCAGACGTGCCGGGGAAAGCAGACATGTGCCAAATGCAGCTCTAATGAACACAAGTCCGACGATCGCGAATCATCTCCACATTGTGTGAACTGTGATGGAAACCATCCAGCCTACTCTAGAACATGTCCTAAATGGAAGATCGACAAAGAGATCATCTCACTAAAAGTAAAAGAAAACATAACATTTCATGAACCAAGGAATCGTCTTTCAAACCTTGATCACGCCAGTTTTGCCGAAGTGGTGCCACGAGGGGTAGTGCCACAAGTGCCTCGGTAGTCTACTGCGCTCATCAACAGTGGCCCAGCAGTCACTTCGTCCACCCCCCAGGTGGCTGCTGCTATTGCCGCGCCGCCAACATCAAAGGTGGGTCTGCAGGCTTCGACTAACAGGCCCCGAAGCTGAATCGAATTCCAAGGCCGAAGACGCAAGTCTCTGTTCCCGGTCTTTGACCTTCTAGTGCCTCGGAGAAGGCAATGGAAATCGATGGATGAACACCAGCGTCGTCGACGCCTAAAGATCAGCGCTCCTTGGAGCGCAATAAGAAAGAGAAACATCCCATAAGCGCTCCACCAAAGGGGTCAGTAACTTGAAGGGTAGCCTCCCTTCAACACATATCTCTAGCACATTCATCTGAACACAGGACACATACATTTCTTTCTCAATATGACCACACAAATACTACAGTGGAATGCCAGAGGCCTATTTAATAACCTAGATGATATCAAAGACTTGCTAAATGACTATCAGCAAAAAGTGTTCTGTGTTCAAGAAACTCATTTGAAGTCAACTCGTGTGAATTTTTTGAAGCAATATCTGGTTCTTCGTAAAGATCGAAATGGTGGCAATTTCTTGTCTGGAGGTGTGCCCATCATTGCACAAAGGAGCGTAGCTTGCCATTACATTGTGCTACAAAGCTTTCTTGAGGTTGTGGCTGTTTGCGCTATTCTTTTCAATTATCTTATAACTATCTGCTCGATCTACCTACCCCCCGACAAACCATTCAATAAAACAGAGTTCGAAAAGATTTTTTATCAGCTTCCAGAACCATATGTGTTAATTGGAGATTTTAATGCTCACAGTTTGCTATGGGGTGATACCAGATGCGATGCGAAAGGTCGTGCAATAGAAACTTTTTTGTCACATCTGGAGCCTGTCTGCTCAATAAGGCAGAGCCAACGTATTTCAGCACCACACACAATACATATTTATGCTTAGATTTAGCCATTAGGTCACAGTCACTCCTACCTTACCTAGATTGGAAAGTTATCAATAATCCATGTGGAAGTGACCATTTTCCGACTTTTTTAGTAACAAGACAACAGGATGACCGACCTTCTTATCCTAAAAAGTGGAACTTTCATGTTGCAAACTGCGTGAAATTAAGAGAGATATGTGCACTATGCCTCGAAAAGGTAGACCATTTGGAAGTAGAAGAGATGGCCAACTATACTATATCTCCGAACATGCTCTTACTTGTGCGAAAAAGTGCATACGGCATTCCAGCAATGATAAGGTTAACACAAAGCCATGGTAGAATCGCGAGTGTGAAATCGCTAAAAAATGGCAAAACAAAGCATGGAGGACTTTTTCTCGCTACGCGAAAGTAGAAAACTTGATAAACTTTAAAAGTTGCAAAGTGAATGGCAGGTGTATTTGCCGTATAGCCAAACAGGAAAGCTGGACACACTACATGTCCTCAATAAACTCCCACACAGACGCCAGCAAGATGTATAATAGGGTAGTAGGCCCAAATCTCTTCCCTTTGGTGAATGACTGCAGTGATACAATAGAAGAACAGGCAAACGCTCTTGGTGGACACTTAAAGAAAATGTAAAGCTCAGAAAATTATATAGCTGAGTTCTTAAGCCACAAAAGCATAGCTGAAAGTGTACCTCTGTGCCCGAACAAGACTGTATCAGATGGATACAATAAACCACTAACACTATATGAACTGAAGCTTGCCCTTGGTTCCTGTGTAAGTTCTGCTGCTGGTTCGGATACAATTACCTATGAAATGATTGTAAATCTCCCTGATGAAACCCTGAACTGCCTTTTAGCACTTTACAACAAGATTTTGAATACCGGAAAATACCCTCTGCTTGGAAAAAGGCAATAGTACATGCCAATCCTTAAACAGGGCAAAGATCCCTCTTCGGTAAATAGTTACAGGCCTATCGCCGTCACAAGCTGCCTACTCAAAGTGTTTGAAAAAAGGATTAACCGCCGCTTGGTCTATTACTTAGAATACAACGGTATATTGGACCCGTGCCAGTCTGGCTTCCGTACAGCTAGATACACAACAGACAGTCTTGTCCACCTTGAATCATATATACGTGATGGGTTTGTACACAATCAATACTGTCTGTCTGTTTTCTTTAATCTTGAGAAGGCATATGCCCCGCCATGGTGGTCTAGTGGCTAAGGTACTCGGCTGCTGACCCGCAGGTCGCGGGTTCGAATCCCGGCTGTGGCGGCTGCATTTCCGATGGAGGCGGAAATGTTGTAGGCCCGTGTACTCAGATTTGGGTGCACGTTAAAGAACCCCAGGTGGTCAAAATCTCCGGAGCCCTCCACTACGGCGTCTCTCATAATCATATGGTGGTTTTGGGACGTTAAACCCCACAAATCAATCAATCAATTGAGAAGGCATATGATACTGCCTGGCGATATGGAATCCTGCAAGACCTATCGTCTTTCAGAATATGTGGCAGGTTGATTACCATGTTAAGAGATTACCTGTCTGAAAGGAAGTTCAGTGTAAAAATAGGCACTGTGTTATTGCGCACATTTCTTCAAGAAAATGGAGTGCCATAGGGAGGAGTATTAAGCTGCACACTATTTATAGTTGAAATGAACTCTCTTTGCTCTGTTATTCCTCCTGCAATATCATACTTCGTATATCTGGACGACATTCAAATCAGTTTCAAATCGTGTAACTTGACTGTATGCAAATGCCACATACAGTTAGGCGTTAACCATCTTGCGAAATGGGCTGATGAGAATGGTTTTAAGTTTAACACTGACAAGACTACTAGTGTGCTTTTCTTAAGACTAAGAGGTGTACATCCTGACCCCTGCATACTAATG